ATATAGGTCCCGAATAGAGACAAAGCAATATCCTCCTTTTGATTGCTAGATGAGTGGCTAAAGTATATGAAAGTGCAGTACAACTACATAGGATTGCACAAACTTAAAGTGTATGTGCACTTTTGCAGCCAAATAGGGATAACCTCTAACTATGGGGTTCTATCTTTTCTTGATTAATGCATTGCTTAGGCTAAATAAGTAAATTATGTAATTTACTCTAATTAGCCAAAATACACAGTAAGGCTGTAAACCCTTATTTAAGGTGGTGGGCGGGGCTAAGCGCCGCAATGAGGAGACATCCCGACGTGTCTGACGGGATCCTCCCCACTGATCTTCCTCACTGTGACTGACAGTGATTCTTGAGAGCTGCTGCGCGTCCACGAATATATGGACATGCGCAGCAGCTCTCTCCTTACCTGCACGTCCCCGTGTGCCAGCCGGGCTCCTTCCCCCCTCTCTCTCTCTCCCTGCCCTGTGTCACACTGACATAATAAAAAGATCGTGGATCGCTGATGACAGAGGGGAAGGAGCCCTCTCTCTCTCTTCAGCATTTACTACAAATGGGAAAGTCCATATATGGTAAAATATGTCACTGGAGATCCCAGCAGATCGATGCTTGCCAGTCCGCAGGGATCCCCAGTGACACCATATATGGACTTTCCCATTTGTAGTAAATGCTGAAGAGAGAGAGATGTTCAGTGCTGGCATGCAACACATTGCTTACTGAAACCTGAAAAAAATCACAAGCACTTACTGATAGAAATGCTAATGGTAAATGTGTAATGAACACTGTATTTTATCCACAGGCTTCATATATGGGGATTTCAATTACTGTCATTAAACAATGCTTGTTACTGTCTGGCATGTCTTATGACTTTAACTGAATGTTATATTTTATTGAAAGATAGAGGACATTTAAATGTTCACATTAATCATGGCCTAGGCCATTTCTTGTATTGATTTATCTGACAAGATGACTGTCAGCTCTAGCTTACAAAGTGAAAGCTTTAAGTTCAGGCTTATATCTTGCTGCCCAAGACAGGTCTACAGCGAAATGTCAGCAATATTTACAATGACAAGTTGTATTTGCAAATTCTGTGCCGAAAGCAACACACTGAGCATTTTAAACATCAAGAAACCTTGAGTGAAATAGGGAGGAAGCCATTGCTGACCTCCTTCTGTAAATACTAGTCTGCTAGTTGACTCTAGCCTCAATACTGTCTGAGTTGCTGGAACAGAATCAGTATTTGGCCAATGATGTTAGGAAAGTCAGAACTTCTTTATACTTGTTTCAGGTCAGTGACTTAGAAATTATTATAGCCTCTGGATTACCATAAGAGCCAAGCAACAAATATTTACAAAAGGAAAGGTCGGCAGTGGCAGCCTATATATTTTTTACAGGAGGGGCTTCTTTTCAGATATATGGTACCTGGGCATAAAAGATTTAGGGGGTTATTCACTATGGAGCCAAAGGATATAGGTGTAGCTTCGGCTGATCCTTCGGTTGAGTCGAACCGAAGGGCTGTTGTACGGGCTATTAACAATAGACATATGCTTTAGCTCGAATTAGCCAAATTGACAGCCGAAGTGTGGAGAAAGGTCGGCCGATGCTGACCAATCTCCATGCTGCTGACCAATCTCCATGCAAATGACAGCTGGGGAGAGCCAGCCGTGATCGCACGGCTCGTTCCGCCTAGTTGTAATGACAGATCAGCATCCCCAAATGACCTGGAGACGCTGATCTGCCATTAAACAATAACAACTGGGTGGAGACGGCCCTGATTCATTGGCCAGGACCTGCTAAAGACTCTGGCAGGTGCCAGCAAATAGGAAACAGATGGGCGGAGCTAGCTGTCATTGCTAGCTCTGTCCAATTGTTTTTCTTTTGCAGGCCTTTTTTAAATTATGTTTCATTTTCTTTTTTTTCTTTTCTTTAAACTGTTTTAATTTTTTTTTATTTTCATGTTTATTTACATTTTGAAAATAATTTTTCAACTCTTTTTTATATAATTAATTTCTCTTATAATCTATTATGCTTGGTTTCTCTGAGGTACCGAACAGAATAGCCGAGCTCAGCGACATTCGGCTACTCACTCACTGCCACTTGGCCCCTATGAGAATAGGAGCGAATGGCAGCGAGTGAGCTGCCAGGGCTTCGGCTCAGCCGATCCAGATGTTGAATCGGCTAAGGCGAAGTCCCTCTGCACTTTGACTCAGCCGAATTTGCAGAGCATGTTCGGCTGACCGAAGGCAGCTGATTTCAGCCGATGTACGGCTGAAATCAGCCGTACTGAGCCAGAGTGAATAGCTGAACGCCGTACGGCTCACTTCGGCAGCTTTGTGAGTAACCCCCTTAGTTAAAATGGTTAGGGACATCCAGGCAAATATGAGAAGCATGATTAAAATCTCAAAGGTGAACAAACTATGTCTAAAGCTGCCCATACACCTTACAACCATCGCACGACTTTCGTTGTGCAATGGTTGTAAGGTCATTAAAATTTCGTACGACCTGCCCATCTTGGACAGGCAGATCGTACTTGCGATCATCGCAAGTCCTCCCCGCTGAGGGGAGGGCTTGCCAGTGATTGCAATGCTGAGCGGGCAGTGTGCGCTTGCGCACACCAGCCTGCACGGCTTTCGTCTTCCGAGCACGCTACCAACCCATCGAAAATCGTACGATTTTCGGCGGGTTTTCCAGCTTGCTAGGAAGACGGGAGTCGTGCGAGCGTACAGCAGATGCGGTCACACGCTGCCCATACACCTGCCAATTATCGTACGATTGCGGGATCACCTGCGATTATCGTACAATAATCGGCAGGTGTATGGGCATTTTGGGGCCACTGGAAAATTGTTCTTCTCCCATGGGGGTTGCTTGCCAAATGTAATAAAAT